GGACGGCAAGTCAGCAACAAAACACTTTGTCTTTTCCAGCAGCCATTATACAGCGGTAAAACAAACTGACCAAACACGCTGGAGCTCAGCTTGTGTTGCTAAGTAACAGTGGAACTTGGCTGGGGTTGCTAGGCAACGGGGCAGTGCCTAATGATTTGTGATGTTACAATCTGGAGAGTTTGGTTTTGGGTTTTTTTTGTGTGTTTTGGTTAATTTTTACAAGCAGCAGAAACTCATATGGAAGGAAACATGTGCAAAAAGTGAATTTTGCATTGTCTACACCTACTTATTTAATACATACATACATACATACTTTTAAATTAGATTTTTTTTGGTGAGTTGATACTTGATTTGATGGCTGTAAGGAGTTTCTGGACAAAAAAAGCTGGATTTCTAAAATAAAATTTGGGGCATTTGTCCCCTCTTGTCCCCCTGGTGGATCTGCCTCTGTCTGTTAGCTTAAGGCGGTTATATAAACAATTGTCTACAGATGAGCCAATGACTGTGATCAATCTGAGTTCAATAAAATCAATTATTATCCAAAATGTTTTTTCTCCACTGCTTAACTTTATGCATCTTTATAACAAGTTTGGACGGTTCTGCCCAAAAACATTGATGTTGAATAAACACATTTTATCTGGAGGAACATAAAAAAAGGTGAGATAAAACCGTTTGGTGACCTGGAGGAAGAATATGAAACTTTAAACTAATTACAGTTTTTATTTTGCAAAGCTTTATTAAATATCACGACTAAATCCATGACCAACCTGGCAACGCGCCGATCAGATGATGAAGAGTTGTTTTGTTCTTCTCCTTTAGTAAAACCCAATTCTGACACCTTTGCAACTAAAAAATATAGTTTCGTATTATGGATTAAAAGTTTTGGCATTTCATTTCACATACTGAGCACAACAAACATGTTTGTGAGAAGCTAATACCTGAGAATGCCTGGCACACGAGCCGAAGCCACCGGCTCCATTTGATAACCCAAATAAGCCGTTGTGAATAAAAACATCAGAACATTTCCTTGGCTGGCGCTGATTTCCGGGCGCGTTTGATCTCCATGCAGGGCTCTTCACTTTGATGTCATCACGCGCAGGAACGAGGCTCAGACGGATAACGCTCGTCTTTCTGCTTCCAGATCATATTTACAGGAGCAGATCGTCAAACACAATCAGCAGCTCTGAACTCAAACCCTCAGCGCTCATCAACCTGGGAGAGAAATCATTCTTTCATTAAGGCTGTAAAACTCTTAATTTAAGAGGAAAAAAACAGAAGAAGTCATTATTATTCTCAGGAAAATATCTGCTCTGTTTATTTTCCTCCACGTTGAGATCTTTTTTCACTTGAAGACATTTTCTCTTTGAAAATAGTAAAAAAGCTTTTATGGGTGAAGAGCCACCAGAAGAAAAACATCCAGCAGACGCTGAGAAACTCTCCACGTCCGGACAAACACGACGGCAGGAATCCAGAACCAGCTGACAATAAGAAACGCAAATACATTTTGAACATTAAAAATCATAAAGGTAACAAATGTAAACACTAACATGAAATATAAAGTATTTTTCACCTGATGGTTTGGTAGACCTGCATAGTTTCTTACATTTACAGCTGCTGTGGTTTGCTTCGAGTTTTGGGAACTTTCTGCGTCTTAAAAGTCAAAATTATTCAACTTCTGGAGCTAAGAAACTTCAGAGATTTTTCCTAAAAATGACTGAGATTAATCTAGAAGTTTCTGAGGTTTTTTTCTAGAAAATGCATCTAGAAATGTTCAAGTTTGTTTTAGAAAATTTCAGAGAATAAAAAAAAGTTCGTGCCATCTTTCAACTTTTGGATCTCGGACATTTCCAGATTTTTCCAGAAAGTGTCTGAGATCAATCACAAAATTTCTGAATTTCTTCCAAAAAAAAGTTGATCCTTTGAAGTTCAGAAATTTTCTTATTTTGCTCAAAAATATCTGGTGGAAGATTTTTTTCCATCTCCATTGACCCTCATCTGCCGTGGTTCTGATCGACCTCTGCAGCAGGTCAGTAACATTTACATTAGCGACTGCAGACCCAGACGGGTCTTTAATATGAAGTTGAAGTGAATTATGAGTGGCAGAGCGACTGTGTGGTTTTCATTGTGAGAACAGAAGTAAAAGCTCTGTAATCATATGCTGTTATTACATTGTGTGTGTATTGATTCTGTCAGCTGCAGCTTAGTGGCTGTTAAACAACAAGCGCAGCGTATAGAAACAAAGAATCGGTTTTCACATGAAAGTGTTTTTGTTTATGTGAGTGAAGTGATTTTTACCTCGCAGGTGACGGCGCCACATTTAGCCCAGGCCGTTTCTTTTCTTTACGCTGACAGTTTCAGACGGCTCTTTAGGAAAGCTGCATCGAATGTGACACATTTTATTGTCTCAGAACTCGCTGTTAGCCGAGCTGCGTCGTCTACATCCTTGCCTTTTGTTCCGCTTTCCCCCGCATCTCTCCGTCTCCAGATTGTTCCTTCTTCCGTCTCGTTCTGTGTCGTTCGTCGCTCCGTTGGGAGCGAGGTAAAGCGCAGAGCCGTGGACGCTGATTCTCACATTTAATCTTTTAAATTGTCAGAGACAATCGTTCCCCATTTTCTCTGTTTCTGCGGCTGACAGCCTGGATCTTCATTCATCCTGATGAAGATATTACCTAACAGCCATCCGTCTCCGTCTGACTGCTGCACGTTTTGCTGCTTTGTGCTTAAACAAGAAGATATGTAGCTTTTCTGCTCACTGTGGAGTTCGATCAATTAAAGAGCCTTAGTGCTAACTTTGTTTTAATTTTCTTCATGCTTTGATATGATTTTTAGAAGGTCTGCTTGAGAAACATAATGAAACCATTTTCTATTCCTTAATAGCTGCTTTTCCATTACAAATGTGCGCAAAACTTTGTTGATATTCTGCTTGCGCCACAAAACACAATTTTGCAATTGTGGTGTTTCCACTGAATAGAAACTTCAACCACTTCCTGTTGTCTTCTTTGTTGCTTCCAGCAGTAGAAACATCTTGTTGTTGATCATGCAACTCGTGATGTGAAAACAGTTTTGCGAAATAAACCAACTTCAATACGGCCAAAAAAACACCTCATCCTAGCGCAAAAACTTTTATGGAAAATGTTAGTTTTTCTGAAACTGCTGAGTATCCATTAAGTGAGTTTGTTTTTTAATTTCAATTTGTGTAATTTTATTGTCAGAATCTGCATTTCTATTATAAATGTGCACAAAACTTTGTTGATATTCTGCTAAAATTGTTTACCAGATAATGAAACGTTGAACAATTAAAGTGGACTTATTAAACAAAATTTTCACATTTTTGTACTTCCATTTTGGTTTCTACTGCTTCTTAAACACTTTAAAAAAATTGCAATAAGTTAATGTTTTTTGGTGTCTGGAATATGAGCTGTTAGTAA